GGAAGGGAAGGGAAGGGAAGGGAAGGGAAGGGAAGCTCCCCCCACTCACTCTTGTTGGGAAGGGAAGGGAAGGGAAGGGAAGGGAAGGGAAGCAGCAGCGCCGCCTTCTGCTGCTGCGGGGGAGCGGAAGCGTCACCGTCACCGTCCTCGGAGGCGTCACTGTCCTCGCGTGTCCCCGATGGATTCCCGCACCCCCTTCCCTCGCTCCCCGCCGCTCCCGTCCCTGCGCTCACCTTCTGCTTCACCTTGGTGCAGTTGGGCAGCGTGTCCTTGCAGCGGTTGTGGATGGTGACGTTGCAGGCTGGGGGACACGGAGAGGTGACGGAGAGGCCACGGGGACCCTCCTGCCACCCCTCCTCCTCCTCCTCCTCCTCCTCCTCCTCCTCCTCCTCCTCAGCTCTGGCAGAGCGACGGGAGCAGATGCGGTGGGAAGCGGGTGGATGCGGATCATCCGCAGCTGCAGCTGCCAGGGAGCAGCTGCCCCAGCGCCGAGGGCACCGTGCCAGCCCGGGGCCACCACGCCGGGGAGCTGGGATGTGCCAGGCTGGAGAAACCATCTCCCAAACCCAGGAGGAACCGGGCTCTGGGAACGGGCACTGCGGTGCCCATGCGGCAAAGCCACCCCAGAAAAGGCGTCTTTGGAAAAGCCACCGTGGCACAGTCATCCTGGCAAGGCCACCCCAAAAAAAAGCCATCCCAAAAAAGCCACCGTGGCACAGTCATCCTGGCAAGGCCACCCCAAAAAAAGCCATCCCAAAAAAGCCGCGCCTGGCGAAGCCACTGCGGCAAATCCAATCCGGCAAAGCCACCCCAGCAATTCCGCCCCAGCAAAGCCACCCCAAAAAAAGTCATCCCAAAAAAAGCATCCCCAGAAAAGCCACTGCGGCAAAGCCACCCCGGCAAAGTCGCCATGGAAGTGCCACCCCAGAAAAAGCCACCCTGGCAACTCCACACCGGAAAAGTCACTGCGGCAATGCCACCCTGGCCAAGCCACCGCAGAAATGTCATCCTGGCAAAGCCACCATGAGAAAGCCACCCCAGAAAACCCATCCTGACAATTCCATTCCAGCAAATCCACCCTGGCAAAGCCACCCCAGCAAAGCCACCCTGGAAATTTCACCCTGGAAAAGCCACCCTGGCATTTCTGCCCTGGCAGAGCCAACCTGGAAAAGCCATCCCATCATATCAACCCCAGCCCTGCCACCCTGGCAAAACCATGATGGAAAAGACACCCCAGAGGAGCCATCCCAAAAAAATCACTGCAGCAAAGC